GGTAGTTACGTGCCCATAGTCTTGGGCATGTAAACATTTGGTCAATAGTTGGTGCTCTTGCATGGGAAGTCTTCAGAGACGTGGCCTTGCTGAAGGCAGTGTGTCACTGGACCTTGAGAGTTTAGAGACATGCACCATTCCCAGTTCACTCTCCTGCCTGTGGTTCAAGGGGTGAGCCCTCAGCCTAGCCTGTTCCCGCTGCCGTGTCTCGTTCCACCATTTGTAGACTCTGATCCTCTGCAGCTGCATCCCAAATAAGCCTTTCCTTCTCTAAGTCGCCTTGGTCGTGGATCAACAAAAAGTAACTAAGACAGAAGTTGGTATCAGGAGTGGAACTACCGTGGTGACAGCCCTGGCTGTACTGTTTTTGACCTGGGAATGAGGAAGACTTTGGGTCTTTGGACTCAGAAAGCAGGGCTTAATGGGACATCCTAATGGAAGCCTGGGAGTCAGTGCCTAGGACAATTCTGACTGTGGAGACTCCGCTCAAGAGGGTTCAGAGAGAAGCAATATTGGCTAGCAACTGAGTTAGAGACCCGTTCTGTGGTATTTTTGACAAAGATTGTGGCTACTTTGCACTTATGTCCTAAGAACTTACCTGAGGCTAAATGTAATGAAAATGAACTTGGGGCTGGGGAGATGGCTCTGCACTTAAAAGCACTTGTCTCTGCAGAGATTCAAAACTGGATTCAGTACCCAGCACCTACATGGGAACCATAATTCCAGTTCTAGGGGACTCAATGTAGCAGGAATCTTAAAAGTTCTTAATAAAAACAAATCTCGAGCCAAGTATTGGGTTGAACTGGAAGATCAGAGAGACAGAACAAGCCACAGCTAACCTCACCTGGCCAACTTCTCAGCTGATCCTGTTTCCTCAGACTGGATACCTCTGAGTCCTCATCCAGAATGAATCTCAGCTGAACTGTGCTGCTCGAAAGCCTAAAAGTTTAACCAGCCAAAAGCTTAACCAGCCAAATGCTGCTGGTTTCTGGTCCTCACGCCTTATATACCTTTCTGCTTTCTACCATCACTCCCTGGGATTAAAGGCTCGCTTTCCGTGATTAAAGGCGTGAGTCACCATGCTTGGCTGTATCCTTGAACACATGGGTTTCTGCCTCTGGAATGCTAGGATTAAAGGCATGTGCTACCACTGCCTATCTTAAGTATTTAGTGGCTTTTCTGTTCTCTGACCCCAGATAAGTTTATTAGGGTACACAATATTTTGGGGAACACAATACCACCACAACTCAACACCTTCCTCTGACCTCCGGCTGGCAAGAGGCGCACACATATACACACATACATGCAAAACACCCATACTCCTAGAATAAAATGAACCCTTTCTTAAAAAATTAAAAGTAATGGACTAGTATCTTTGGCAGAAGAGAGTCTAAGATGCGGTAATAGGGACTCTGTCATGTGTTTATTATTCTTCACTCTTATGCAGGTCTACAATGAAAATGAACAGTTAGGGCAGAAAGAAATGAAAAACTATAGACAGTTTTGAAAGAAAAGAACACCACACCAGCAAGCTTGGTGTTACAGGGAAGCTTGCACTGGAGGAGAAACTGTGACTGTGAGAATATTGTCACCCATAAACAAAGTACTGATCTACATAAGAATAGAAGGGAAGGCACCCTCAGGGGAAGATCCCACCTAGCTGAGCTCCTGAAAGACAGCAGAAGGCTTTTTGATGCTAATGTGATTTAAAGGAGCCTGGGTCCATCCCAAGTTGGTAGCTGAACCCAGCCGTTTTTTGTCCACATGGTGCTAGTTTTAGAGTCATAAAAGAGAAGGGGTCATGGGATCTTTCCCCATGGCTTCAGAGGGCTGCCAATGACAAGACGTATCAGGCAGTGGTGTCCTTGTGTGAAAACCTGAGAGCAAGAGGTCCTGAGAGGCCATTGCATGAGGCTGTGAAAGTGAAACCTGTGATGCCCTGGAGAGCTGTGGGATGTCTGTTAAGGAACTAGCCTGAGGGAGAGCGCTCTAAGCCTTTTGACTTCAGACATAGAGCTATGGGATTTGGGATTTGACTGCTGGGTTTCTGCCTTGCTTTGGTCCAGTGTTTCCTCCTTATGCCCCCATCCCTCCCTTTGGAACAATAGTGTAGATTCTGTGCCACTTCCTGTTGGAAGTATGTAATTTGCCTCTTGATTTCACAGGGGGTGATAATTAAGAGATTGCTTTGAGTCTCAGAAAGGAGTTTGGATTTAAAACCAGTGTTGTGACTGTGAAAGGCTGACGATGACTTTGAAGTTGGACTATGTGTTCTGCACTGTGATATAGTCACCAGGCCGATGAGGGCCAGAGCATGGAATGCGGTGGTTTGGGTGTGAGAAGTTCCTTATAGTCTCAGGCAGTTGAGACTATAACACCAGGTTCCCAGTTGGTGGAACTATTTTAGGAAGGATGAGGAGGTGTGGCCTTACTGGGGGAAGTATGTCACTAGAGGTGGAAAAGACTCACACCATTTCCAGTTCATTCTCTTTGCTTTGCTCTTGTGGTTCAAGACATAAGCCCTCAGCCTCCTGCTCCTATTGCCTAATCTACAACCACCATCATGAACTCTAACCTCTGAAACCATAGGCCCAAATAAACCCTTCTTTCTGTGAGTTACCTTGGTCATAGTACTTTATCACAGCTTCTTCATCTTATTATAGTTCATTTTGTCATGTTTATGATAAATATAATAATAATAAAAAAACCCCATCACATCCAAGCTGGGCAAGGCAACCCAAAAGAAGGAAAAGAGTCCCAAGAGAAGGCACATGTGGTGATATATTGTATACCCTAATAAACTTGCCTGAGGACCAGAGGACAGAGCCAGCCACTGGATTAGACATAGAGGTCAGGCAGTGGTAGCACACACCATTAACCCCAGCACTTGAGATCTCATGCCTTTGCTTGGGAAGCACACATGCCTTTAATCCCAAGAAGTTATATGGAAGGGCAGAGAAGAATATATAGGGTGGGAGGAAACAGGCTGAAGGTTTCATAGAGGTAAGATCTAGTGGCTGGCTGTTCTGCTTCTCTGATCTTTCAGCTTTCACCCTGCTATCTGGCCCTGGGTTTTTTTTTTTGTTTTTTTGTTTTTGTTTTTATTAAAAGACCATCTAAGATATGAGCAATAGGCACGAGAATCAGAGACCCACTCGTTCACACACTCAGGAGTTTCACAAAAATACTAAGCTGAAGTTTATAATATATACCCAGAGGACCTAATAGATCTGCTCCCTATAGGCCAATGGGGGCCATTTTCATTCAAAACACCACAAACACCAAAGCCGGTTCTGAGCAGAAGCAGGCAGGGGCTCACACACACACTCTTCTGCTTCAGGAAATGGGATGGTGAGGACCAGAGGTAAGGGACAAAGCCCAGATCATCCCACCAGCCACAGGTGTACCAGTCTTTGAGAACTGATGGTCCTCTCATTCCCTGAATGTCTAATCTGAGATAGGGAATAGTCCTTTAAGACCATAGTTCTCAACCTGTGGGTCACAACCCCTTTGGGGGGTTGAATGATCCTTTCACAGGGGTTGCATGTCAGATATCCCACCTATCAGATATTTATATTACAATTCATAATAGTAGCAAAATTATATTTATGAGGTAGCAACTAAATAATGTTATGGTTGGGGTCACTGTTGAGGGGCTGTATTGAAGTGTGGCAGCATTAGGAAAGTTGAGAACCAGTACTTTAGTGGATGATGCATGTTTCTGAGGTCTGGAAAAAAGCATGAGATCTCGAAGTTCAAGCTTGCGATTTTCTTTGTTTTAGATGAATAGAGACTTCGATGCATTTTAAAAGTGTGGGATGCCTCCATTGCTAAAGTTTACTTCAGGAGAGGCGGCCCCACTCCAGAGTGATGGACTGGAGACGGAAAGTCATGCATTCATCTTGTCAGTTTATGTTCCTATGTAAAGTTAACATTTGTGCCTGAGCAACCTACACATCATGGTGTGCACTCAAATGCTAGGAGTCAGAGCTCATTTTACTTTATGCCGGGGTCCTTTGGTTAGTTTCTGAGTCCCTGCATGTATGTGGGTGGATGAAATACAAATGTGGTCATGAATGCTCTTGATTGAGTTCTTTTATTTAGCAAAACTTAATGACTAGATTTAAAACAAAGCTTTTTTTTTTTTCTTATGAGAGGGAATAAAGTTTAATCATCACTGTTTTTCAGATCTCTCCCCCATTCCCCCCCCTCCACTAAAGCTTATTATAGGGACTTCCATTTACACAGGCACAAACACACAATTAACAGTTTCCATTCCCTCCCCAACCCCCCAGGAAATGATGGAAAGTAATTTTAACAAAAGGTGTAAACAACGAACACAAAAACAAAAAGAATAGAGGGGCATTGGGCACATTCACGGCACTTTTAGAGGCCGTAAGCAAAATGGGAGCGGGCTGAGTTAGAGAATTGGAGAGAGGACTCAGAAGTCCATAAACATTTCTGGATGGAGGATCAAGAAGCGAGACCATGAGCGCCCAGGGGTGGGTGTGGGTGTGGGTGTGGGGGTGGGAGAAGGCAGCAGACAGGCAAGGTCAGGAACAGGAGGTTTTGGTTCAAAGCTGGTACGCAGCACGGTCCACCCCTGCTGTCCTCCCCTGCTGTCCTCTCTCTGCATTGGTGACCCCCACCGGGGACCCCGCCAAGCCCCATGCAGGTCCACCGCGGGCAAGACCAGGCTCTGCACCCAGCACCCAGAGTCTGGGATGCTGCTGGGAGCGGTGGAAGGCAAGGGAACTAAGTGATCTGGGCTGGAAAGGCGGATCAAGTCCAGCGCTGACCAACACAGTGAGCCCGACCGTCACATTTCCCCGTGGAGCCACCCCCACGCCCGCACACACGGGCACTGCACGTGGCCTCCTGCAATAAATAGGTGTGGAGCGGCGGCATCGTCATCATCCGACCCCGCCCCCTCCTCCCGGCTCCTCCTCCTCCTGCCCAGTTCCCGGCGCCGCTCTGACTCTCGCGAGACTTGGGTCTGCCCGAGCTAGGAAGAAGCCAACATGGTGGGCGCAGGCTGAGCAGGGGCCAGGCCTTTGGAGCTCCTTCTCCGCGTGTCTCCGGAGGATCCCCCGGGGCTCCCGACGCTGTCCCTGGGGGCGTGGGGGCGGAGAGAAGGGTGCAGCGACCCGGGGTGGGCAGCCCGGGGTGAGCCCGGGGCCGTCGTCTGTCGTCGTCGTCGCCGCGAAGGCCGGCCTCGGGGAGGAGCGGAAGTAGGCCCGGGAGGAAGTGACTTCCCTCCACCGGGAGGAGCGGAAGCGGAGCGGGCAGCAGGTGGAGGGAGCCCGTGAGCGGGCCACCCCGCCGGGCGGGTGCCTGCGCTGGCCTGGGACCTGGCGGGCCCGGCCCGAGACCCCGGAGACCCCGGGGAGGCCCCGGACGGGCCCCCGGTGCTGATGCTGGGCGACCTGGAAAGGACCCAGGACGGGAAGCTGCAGTGCCCGTGCTGCAGCTACGCCAGCGAGAGGGCGGAGCGGCTGGTGGAGCACACCCGCGTGCACACGGGCGAGAAGCCGCACCGCTGCCGCCTCTGCCCCTTCGCCTCCGCCTACGAGCGCTACCTCGAGGCCCACGTGCGCTCGCACACCGGCGAGAAGCCGTACAAGTGCGAGCTGTGCGCCTATCGCTGCAGCTACAGGAGCAACCTGTCCCACCATCGAAGGCGCAGGCACAAGCTCTTGCCGCTGACCGGGCCCCGGGCCGCCTCCTTCACCGGCATGAAAACGTGGGGGGCCCTGCAGGGTAAAAGCAACGCGGAGGATGGCAAACGAGGGCTGCTCATCGCCTTCGGTCCACCTTCTGTGGTCCTTCAGAAACCGGACTACCCCGGTGATTTTACGCGCAAGGCCCCGCATGTTCGGAACGACCTCTACGACAGTATGGATAAAGCCTCAGTCTTCGGACTGCCGAGGGACCCCGAAGAACTCTTGCTTGTGGACAGTCCTGTGAATCAGATGTCTGCTCTCGCAGGACGCTTGTCTAGGTTGCCACCTGAAAACCAAAACCTGGCCTCCCCTGACGGAGACTCGAGCCTAGAGGAAAATCTTTTCATGATTCAAGAGCCCTCTGCCCACGGGAGTGCCCCACAGAGCTCCCCCATAGCCCTGGAGCCTCCTCTCCTACCATTTAGTCAGAGGGACCTCAGTCCATTTGCAGGGCCCAGCAGCCAGCCAAGTGGCCGCACCAGCGCCTCCATCTTTGGAAGCAGCCAGCCAAGCACTCCGGCCCTAACCTTGCCGATGGAGGACTCTCAGCTTCTTTACCATTGCCAGCACTGTGACACGTACTTTGCAGACAATGTCCTTTACACTATTCACATGGGATGCCACGTGTATGACAATCCTTTTCAGTGTAACACATGTGGACACAATTGTAAAAACAAGTACGATTTTGCCTGTCATTTTGCAAGAGGCCAACATAACTAGAAATGAGAACAACCAACTTTCTCTTTACCCAGTTTAGCCTTTGGGGGTGATCGTAGTTTGCTTTTGGTTACTCCTGGTAGGGCATTTTCTAATTTAAAACTTATTATATATTGTGAGATATAAATTTGATGGTGGAAACCGCTGCCCTCCTGCATTCACCCTCTCTTCCCCATCCCCTCCCCCCCCTTTTTTTTTATAAAATTTGATCTGATCAAGGTTATTTAGACACTAGAATATTTACCTCTTTTCTTTCAACAAGTCGTGTGAGAATTGAAGTCCAATCAATCTTACCAGGTGTTTAATTTTTTCCCTATTTATGACCATTTAGGCTTTAAAGATTGTTCATACTCTTGGTATTTCTAATATTCATTGCACTTAGATATTATTTCTGTCGTATTTCAAAATAGTAGAATAATTTTGCTTCTATAAAGCTGTTAGACCCTATTTCTATCCTGATAATAAGTTTGAAGTTGCCATTAGTTGAAGTATTGATTAGTTCCTATACTTAAATTGGAGTAGTAGTTTCCTTTCAAATGGAAACAGTAAGGTTGTCTCAGTGTAGTAACTGTTTTTGTTTTTTTTCTACATAAGGAATTATTTTTTTTAAGTTATAAAGATAGGTGAAAGTTCTGAAAAGAAATGAAACACAGGACCAAGTTTCCTTTAGCCTAAATTGTTTACTATTTATAATACATATGGAGTCAATGTCTCATTTTAAAATACCTGTGAAGTCAGTGTCTAATTGAGATACGTTAATAACCCATTGAGCTGCTTATGCTTTGTTTATTTTTTAAAACCAGAGGAAAAGGTAACAGTATTTTTGTACAGTGTGTGCAATTTCAGTTTCTCAGTTAAATTCTTCATTGAGACATGACTGGTGTTTGTTGAGATTGTTAACTGTAGTGAGACTCTGTGTTTCCCATTGTTTTGATGACCAAAAAAGAGGTACAATGGAACTCATGCATTTTAAATTGTAGCCATTCTCCAGGCCCTTTCAAGGCAGTGAGTGACCTTACCAGTGCCTGAACTATGAACTTCAGGCCTTTAGGACAGTGTTAGATTAAGTTATTACTGCTGCCGTGTGTGTGCAGCTTTGATACAGCAGCCACAAAAGCTTCCTGCAGGCTTCTGGGAACATCTGATTTTCTACTTTCTGTGTTTCTTACTGAGAATGAGACTCTTCTGAGCAGGCACACTAAAGCTGAGCTGACCCGCTTCCTGGGTGTTCCTCGTTTGGCCTTTACAAATGCTGCTGACAAACTGAAGGCACAGGATGAGCCCCAGCCCTGGATTACACTGCCTGGGCACCGAGGGCCCATAGAATCCATGATAATCATTTCTCTATTGCAGGCACCACCTTGACTGGAGGAGGCTCCCTAGTGTGGAGACATCAGGTAGGTTCTCCTGTCTTGTAGCAGCAGCAGAGCTTATTCCAGGGAGTACTCACAGAAGAGATGAGCTGGTAGTCCTGCCTCATATTCCACAGACCACATTCGTATTGGCAGCCCTCAACTCCAGGTACAGCACAGTAGGCACCTGCTGCCCCATTCCTTTCACCGCCCAGAGCCAGGCTAGGAATGGCTTCTTTCCGGCCGCTTTTCCACCTCAGGCGGGCTTCTGTGAGCTCTGACTTCAGTGTTTAAGGGCCACATCTGTGCCCCTTTTATGACCTGACAGAAGCCTGGCCCATTTCAAGCTCCTTAGTCTCCAGGGCCTTCAAGGAGCCCTCTAACGAGAACTGTGGAGTTAAGAGCTACTGATTTCTTTTGAATTTTTCATTGAATTCTTAACACATGTTATGGGACTGAATGGTGTCTCACTCAAATTCTTATGTTGAAATTCCCTGAGCTTAAGAACGTGGCTGTATTTGGACATAAAGTCTTTAGAGGACCCAGGTCAGATGAGGTCACATGGATGAGTTCTAATCTGATATGACTGATATCCCTGTGAGAAGGAGATAGGGACACAGATCTGCAGAGATGCTTGGCCAGGGAAGAAAGGGAGAGGCTGACTAACACCTGTAAGCCAAAGGCAAAGGCCTTGGAAGGGACTGGGCTTCCCTGCATTGTGTTGTCAGATTTCTAGTCCCCAGAACTGTAAAGAAGTACATGTCTGAGTTAAAGCATCCTGGGCTATAGCAGTAAATTGCTAAGGGAGCCCAGCAAGCTTATGAAGTCTACCAGTGTCTGTCTTTGTTTCATGTTTGGTTTTGTTTGTTTTGAGTCAGGTCTTACCATGTAGCCTTGGCTGGCCTGGAACTCACTGTGCATACCTGCTTGCCCTGTAGCTCATAGAGATCCCTTTGCCTTTGTCTTCCTAGTATGGGGATTAAAGGTGTGTACTGTTTTCTTTTTTAAGGAAGAAAACTTCCTAAGGAGGCAGAGGCACAGAGGAGAACGAAACACGAGTTCCAGGACCCTGTGTTTTATAGCTCGGTACAGTTCAAGAGTGATTTCCTGTGCTTACCTAGTTCTTCATGTATTGGGATTTGTTTATTTGTACTTCCTTTGGAATGCAGCACAGCATCTACTTTACATACATGGTAGATTGCTACCTACCTGATAGTACTTTGTACGTTTTCCTTAGCTGCTTTGGTGATGTATTACGTGATCAGTGCCAAAATAAGCTATTGAGTAAGATTGAATGGACTCACAAACTAGAACAGGTTGTTGAGGGATGCTGAATTTCTTCACCCACATAACCCCACTGTTGGTCCTTAGCACTGAGGTCAGTAAAATGAGGAAAGTGACATTTAGGAAATTGAGGCACATTTAAAGCATTAAAGTCTCTTATTTTTATACTGAAATTTATCTACCATAGTAAAAAATAATTAAGTCAAAGAATCCCCTTTCACTACTATTTATACTTCAGGGTAGAGAACTGATCTGAACTAGGCCCTCTGAATGTGGGTGACAGTTGTGTGGCTTGGGCAGTTTGTGGGGCCCCTGGCAGTTGGACCATCATTTATCCCTGGTGCATGATCTGGCTTTTTGGAGCCCATTCCCTATGGAGGGACACCTAGCTCAGCCTTGATGCAGCGGGGAGGGGCTTGGTTCTGCCTCAACTTGATGTGCCAGATGTTGTTGACTCCCATGGGAGCCTTACCATCTCTGAGGAATGGATGGGGGGTGAGATGGGGGAGGAGCTGAACAAGAGGACATTGTGGTTGGTATGTAAAATGAAAAAAAAATTTAAATTAAAAATAAAAAGCTCCTGCTAACTGTAATGGATGACATTTGCGTTTGAAGGCTGATTCCCTCCTAGTCTTTCTGCTCTGTGGGTTGGTCTGTGAGACCCACTGCTCCTCCACTCATGACCCCTATGCAGCTCACCAGGCTCTTTAACGGATTGTGTGCTGAGTTACAGACCTGCCTCCAGCCCTGAGTTCACGTGAGCCTGACTTCCCAGCCCCTGGGTATGAAATTGTTCACTGAACATCCCCACCATATTCCTTCTAATGCCTCAAGCCTCCCTTGTCCAGAGCATCATTGCCTAAACTTGCTTGTACATTTTCCCATTCCTGATGTTTATTCTCTTCCTTCCTCTCCCTCTTTCCACCCCTCTTTGATTTTTAAAACAAGGTCTTAAACTGTAGCCCAGGCTGACCAGGAACTGAGGGTAATCCTACTTCAGTCTGCAATTACCTCATCGTGCTGGAATTACAGGCATGAACCACCACATCCAGCCCATTACTGCCTCTTTCAGATGCCAATTGCCAGAGACCAGCTCACCCCAGTGCGTGAATCCCATGCTCAGCTTTCTTCCACCTCACATCTTGCCACTCAGCAAGGCTTATTCATTTTACTTCTTTCATATTGAAAATTCAGAATACTCACAAATGTAGTTTGTTTCCCTAGTGCTAAGACATGTAAATCAACAGAAAACAGTGTGAAACGTGACAAAGACATGGTTGAAAGTCAGAGCAAGTAAACACATTTGTAGGCAGCTGGCTGGAAAGTAAAGCTTGTGCTGGGCAACTGGCAAAGGACCCCAGCAAGTCTTAAAAATGCATCTCTTTTAACTAAGTAACCTATCTTTTAGAAATTTGCCCGAGTAAAGTAAGTTGAGAAATACAACTGTTTCCATTTTGGTTTACTAGGTTTTCATAAACACTAAAAGACCATAAATATCATCAGTCCCAAACAGCCTAAAGTGAGGGGTTTGTTTAATGCACTATGTTAAACTGTAAGTTTTGGCACCTCTAATGCTTATGCAAGGTGTGTGTTTACCAGCTCCAGTAAAACCCACTTGTATTTTGCATGCAAAGAAAGGTTGTGAAACAGTGTGTAGATGATGAACACACTTGATATAAATATGCAAGACCAGCTGGAAAAGGGAGGTGATCTCGTAGAGAATAAATTCTTTTTGTGCATCTTCTGTATTTGCTCATTCTTTCTCCTAACACAAACAGGGAGGCACTAACTTTATTTATTATTTATTTATTTATTTATTTATTTATTTATTTATTTATTTATTTATTTATTTATTTATTTATTTATTCATTCATTCATTCATTCATTCATTCATTCATTTATTTAAGGTACTGGGGTTCTTATGGGTCCTGAGCTCTTTCCTGTAGTGCTGGAGACTGAACCTAGGACCTTGTAAATGCTGGACTATTGCTGCACGCCAAAGCTGCACACCAAAAACTACATATTTTATGTGCATATATGTGTGTCTGAGTGTGTGTATGTGCACCACGTTTGTTCAGAAGCTCTTGGAGGTCAGAAGAGGCATTGGATTGTGTTGAACTGGAGTTACAGATGGCTAGGAGCCATCATGTGGATGCTGGGAACTCACCCAGGTCCTTGGCAAGACCAGTCGGCTCTCTTTTAACTGCTGAGCTATCTCTACAGCCCCAACACTGGGATTTTTACTTACCAGGTACAATTGCCCATTCCTGAAGGCTTCAGGGATTTTGTAGACTGACTGCTCTCTTTTCTTGCTATATATGTCCTGACCTTTCACTAAACAACTCACTCATACTTTTCTTTTGCACAGGTTGGAGTGGTACCACAAGGCTCTAGGTGAACCTGACTCTTCCATGTGGGGGTCTTGAGGTTGCACTCTGTGGCTTCCTGGGAATCTGCTCTTACACTGAAAAGCTAGGGCAGTGTTGTAGAGACAGGTGTCTGGCCCCTTCACTGCCCAAAGCTCTTTGTCTCCTGATCCGTCCCTATCTTGCTGCTGCTGTCTATTCTTGTGTGTTTACTCAGCGGCTGCTCTCAGTAGGACTCCTAGAGATGTCTGACTCAGAGCTTCAGGCAACCTCCCAGGGAATCTGTCCTTGGCTCCCGCTGTTCACCTTTGACTCTGTCTTCTTGGCAGCCCTCCTGCTAAGCCTCTTTGGGCTCCTCTACCACTACAACTCTTGAGCCCTTCCAAGCAACTACAAGAATAGGTAACAGTTTATTAAAAATTGATTAAGAGACAAGAAGGAGCCAGGGCTCCAATATCCCCTTACATGCACACCCCACTGTGTTTCCTCCTAGTTGACCCCGTCTTCCTGAAGTTTCCACCATCTCCCAATAGCAGGGTACCAATCTTTCAACACATGAACATTTCGAGGTCTAAATCATAACAAAGTCATGTCAAAAATACGGTGTTAACATCTTAGCAGTCCTTATGTGCCACTTTGCCTGCGTCTACAGTTACAAACACGTTTCTAAATTTAGTGTGACAAAACCGTCTCCATGCTTTCATAGATGTTTCCCCACATTTGTGTGTCATCCTACAAACTACACATTTTTAGTTTGCTTAACAAAACGTACTATTATTGTGTGTATTATAGGACTAGTTTTTTTTTTTTTTTTTTTTTTCCTGAGTAGAGAATCCTGAGATTTTGTTGTGTTGATTTATATAGCTGTATTATGTTCGGGGTATAAGATAACATTGTTTGAATATATCGGTATTATAATTTTACCATTGAAGAACATTTGTATTATTTTTAGATTTTTAAGTTTTTTCTGTTAGTAAAAATTATGTGTGTGCATATACGTGTGTGTGTGTGTGTGTGTGTGTGTGTGTGTGTGTGTGTGTGTGTGTGTCTAAGTGTCTAAGTCAGAGAACAACTTCTGGAGTGCTCTCTACCTGGTATGGCATGGCCGTTGCCCACATGAACTCACAGTAGCTGATTATCTGTACTAGACCTGCACAAGATCGGGTCTATCACCTTCTATCGTGGAGGGAAGAAGGGACTCATGAGGCCTCACCCTTCCCTGAGGATGAGGCAGTTAACAGTTGCTGGGGGAGGGGCTCACAAGGCCTCACTTCTCTCTGAGGATCTTTAGGCTAGCTCCTGATCGGCGGAAAGAGAGAAATGTTCTTCACTGGTATAGCCACTGGTGAATTACCTATGCTGTTGGAAATAACCTCATCCACGGCACGCTCATGGAAACAGTCTTAACACTCACTGGACCATAAATGAAGGAAGAGGGGAAAGGAGGGAGAAAGAAGGGAGGTATGAGAATAGAAGAGGGACTAGCTGGTAAGAGGGATGGGGAGCTAGTCACACTACTGCCTTCAGACAGAACAATGAGTACATGCATGCTAGTTCTCAGGCCAACTGCTCTACCTACACAGCACAAGCTCCCTTCCCCTGGGAATTGTCCCCAGTCACGGTTAAGATGGGTCTCAGAGGTTAACCTCAGTCTAGACAACCCCTCACAGGTATGCCCAAGTGACAGTTGACAACACTTGTCCATCACGGTCTTTGTGTCTTATTTTAAAGAACATTTCCTAACCTCAAGGTCATGAACAACTTCCAGATTTAATGTTTTGAAATCTTGCCTTTCACATTAAAGCTTTAATTTAGCAAGTAAATATGAACAGGGAAAGATAAACCAGTTAAAGGGATAAAGATTAATTTCAGAAGTTTGGTTGCATGTTCTTAGATTACCAAAGTCCCAAGTCAATCTGTGACTTGGTTTGGCAGTAAAGTGGAGGGAGTGGAGGACTCAGCCATAGAAAGGTAACTGCTTTCAGTTCTTTTAATTGCGTGGTGTTTTCTTACGTTTCCAGCTTCGTGTGTGTGTGTGTGTGTGTGTGTGTGTGTGTGTGTGTGTGTGTGTGTGTGTGTGTGTGTGAGAGACGGTCGAGTTCTACATAGCCCTGACTATCTGGAACTCACTATGTAGACCAGGCTGGTCTCACAGAAAGCTTCCTGAGTGCTGAGATAAAAGGTGTGTGCCACCACAGCTTTAACCAAATTTCACATTCTGAGTCACCTTTTACTGTCTTTAGGCTCCACAGAGGATCTGCCAGTGGTAAACTGTCAGGCTTTGCCTAGAAATATTCTTATTTTGCTTTTGTTCTTGAAAGGTATTTTTAGGTTGATAGTTATTGCAGTTATCATTGAAATATTTGATTCTGCCCCCCGGACTCCATTGTTGCTACTGAGAAATCTCCTGAAACTCTAAGAGCCACTGCCTGCAACAACACTTTCCATCCAGGCTGTCTTTCCCAAACCTGTTAGAACTAATGATTAAGTTCTCTAAAGTTGTAGTAAACAAACATACTCAAATCATTGTAAACTCTACAACAATGAATTATCAGAAAGAGAAATCAAGAAAAAAAATTCCATTCACACTAATATATTAAAATAATTGTAGAAATAAATTTAACCAAAAAGACAAGAGAGTTTCTTTCCCAGGGCTGGGGGTTGGTCTAAGGCCTTGTGTGTTTGAGGCTCTATCACATAAGTGAGCTACATCCCTGGTCCAGATAAAGGCTTGATAGGTAACCTAAAACTTGAAGACAGAAAGTAAGTCACAAACAAATGACATATGAATTGGGTTGGAATTGGATTGTCTATACTACCCAAAAGGATCCATAGATTCAAAGCAATAATTTTTTAAAATTTACTTTATTATGTTGTGTGTATGAGTGTTTTGCCTGCGTGTATGTCTGTGTACATGTGAAAGCCTGGTACCTGAGGAAGCAGGGAGCTTCCATGTGCCTGCTGGGATTTGAACCTGGGTCCTTTACAAGAACAAGTGCTCTTAACCACTGTGCCAATTATCCAGGCCCCAAAGCAGTCATTATTAAATTTTCTTTTTCTTCTTTTTTGAAATAGAGTCTTACTGTGTAACCCTGGATGGCTTGGAATTCACTATGTAGATCAGGATGGCCTCAAATTCATGGAGATCTGCCTGCCTCAGCCTCCCAAGTGTTGGAATTAAATACTTGGACTAGAGTCAACTAATTTTAAATAAGTAACTGAGCAGAGTCAGTGGAGAAATATTCTCTTCAATTAAGTTTACTGAAAAAATTTGATATACACATGTAGAAGAACAAAATTGGAGTTTTTCCTCATACTGTGTACAAATTTCAAGTATTACAATGGATAAAGTCAAAATGTTTGAGCTGAAATCCTATTGAAAGCTAATTTATGAAAAATGCTTTTTGACATTGGTCTCAGCAATCTTTTTATTTTAGTGCATGTATGTCTGTGAGGGTGCCAGATCCCCTGGAATAGGGTGCTACACACAAGCTGTCATGTGGGCACTGGGGATTGAACTCAGGTCCTCTGGAAGAGCAGCCAGTCCTCTTAACCACCGAGCTATCTCTCTAGTCCTAGGCAATCCTTATTTTGGGGGGATATGAATCCACAAACAAACTCAGAACAAACAGACAAATGAGATTGCATCACACTAAAATTCTCCCGCACTACGAAGAGAGTGGAGATAACATGCAGACAAAAAGAGAAAAAATGGGCAAAGCCTATATGGGATTAATATTTAGAACATAGGTTAAATTTAAATATTACAGCAGTGAGAAAATAATACAATTAAAAAAAGAGATGTTTTCCAAAAGATAACACAGAGGCCCAGGGATGTAACTAAGTGGTAGAGGGTTTGCAATTGTGAATCCCTGGGTTCACTCAATAAAAGAGGCAGAAGAAAAAGGGGAAACCCAGGAAGGGGGAGAATATAAATGGCTCACATATATAAACATTTTAAACATCTTTAATCATTATGGAAGTTAGAATGAAAATCACTATGAGATATTGCCTCACACCTGTTATTAAAAAAATGTTAAAGGTAACCGTTGGTGAGAATGTAATAATAAGGGAACTGCTGTACAGTTATCGGGGGAATACAAATTGGCACAGCAATTATGGAGAATGGTAAGGTATTTCAAGTCATTAAAAATGGAGCTGCTCTGTGAACCAGCCACAGCACTCCTGGGTGTAGACCCTAAAGAAATGAAGTTTATGTGTTGAGGAGATAGCTGTACTCTGATAATAGCTAAGATATAGAAATCAACCTTTGTTCACCCACAGATTAATGGACGAAGGAAATGTGTGTATGTATACAGTATAAT